CAGCAGGACGGAGCAAGGTACCAACAGCTTCAGAAACAATATCAGCAGATAAGCGCGCAGCTACAGAAGCAGACGCAGGTTTTCCAGACGTTGCAGCAGCAGTATTTAGAGTTCACTCAGCGGTATCGACAAAAAAGGCGGCTAACTCCTCAACAGCAAAGTCAGCAGCTGCAATGGCAACAGTATTATCAATATAAAATCAGCCATCAGCACCAGCAAGTGCAACAGATAGGGCAACAACAGGCTCAGACACACCAGCAACTAGTGCAGCTCTACCAGCAATTGCAGCAACAACAACAGGCACAACAGCAGCTACAGCAACATATACAACAGCAACTACAACGACAAGAACAGCTCCAAAAGCAACACGAACAACGAGAGCAAGAGCAGCGAGAGCAGGAAGAGCGAGAGCAAGAGCAGCTGCAGCCGCCGCGGAGGCCGAGTCCCCGCCCGACCTCCCCGAAGGCCGACGCCGGGCAGCAGCGGGCCGGAACCTCGTTCGACGGCATCAACGACCTCCTTCGCAATGTACTAAACGCGGAGGACGAGGGCGAGGAAGGGGACGAAGAGGTTGATTTAGTGGAACTGTTAGAAGAGACAGAGGAGGAAGAAGAGGAGGACGACGACGACGAAGAGACTCAGGTAGACCAAGAATATCTGAAAAACAAAGTAGAAGAGTGCGCGGCGCAGATCCGATCGCTGAGCACAGACGACCTAGTAAGTAGTGACCTGGAAGTTGTGCCTCGCGTGCGCCGAGCTTCCTTGTGTCTCAGCAAAGGGCCCTCACACCTGAACGTAGGGCCCTCCTTGACGCACCTAGGTCCGAGCGGCGTACAAAAAGGTCCCGCCCACCTGAACAAAGGTCCGGCGCGCCTCAACAAAGGTCCCAGGTACCTGACCAGAGGGCCGAGTAAACTGAGCAAAGGGCCACAAGACCTGAATGTCGGGCCGGCTCGCCTGAACGTCGGCCCTTCGGACTTCCACTCCGGCCCTTCGGATCTGCACAGGGGGCCGTCGGGAGTCAACCGGGGCCCCGGAGTCAACAAGGGCCCAGGCCACATCAACAAGGGTCCTGCAGGAGAGTATACCGGTCTTCCTACGCCTTACAAAGGGCTCTCCTCACTGGCCAAAGGTCCTTCCCAAAAGATCCTAGGCCCGGCTAGCACGCGACGTTCAACGGAAGCCCTTCACTGAAGCTGAAACGCCGTCGCCCTTTCAGCTCTTCTGCAGCCGCCGCTTTGTACTCTGAACGCGGGGACTCCAACCCCGCCGGCACCGCTTACCTTTCACAGGAGCTTTGCACGCGCGCTCTCTTAATGCTGTCTCTGCATGTCTGTCAATACTGCAACATGATATTCAATCCACGTATTTAACCCTCACAGAAGACGAAGGACACCAGGATATTCACAGATAAAAAGAAAGAAAGAAAAACGAAACAGTGTTCACTTCGCCACGGTTTATTTATCACCACAGCTGATTTCACATATTGTTGGCGACGCTGCTGAGAAAATATCTATTTTTACACGGAAGAAAGATAGACCTAAATTAGCGGACATCTGTGGAGAAATTTCGTGTATATACCAGAGTCTCCACACCCCGGAGCTGCCTTATTCTTCGCCATGACTGCCAAGAGGTGAGTTTATATTAAGCGGTCATAAAAAGAATACTGTAATTATACGTGAAAGAACAGTACCCATAAAAGTTTACTAATAATGACACTGCCACTACCGTTGCTATTATCACTATTATTACTCCACTCATACTATTATCACTATTATTACTACTACTCTTGCTATTATCACCATTACTAGTAGTAATGGGAACAATCATAATGACAATGATAATGACAATAACAATAACAATAACAATAACAATGACGACGCCATTAATGTTAATGATCACAATGGTTATGGTAATGACAATAAATGATGATGATAATAATAATAATAATAATAATAATAATAGCAATAATATTGACAATAACGATAACAACAATTATTATAATAACAAAATTGCATCTGACACAATATTATGATAATGATAATGATATTATCATCGCAACAATTTCACATCTGCCTCAATAATCACACATTCACCATACTATACAACATACACCCACACGTCAGTACACGCACACGCTCACACACATCTAAAACCCTATGTGTATGTGTGTGTATATATATATATATATATATATATATATATATATATATATATATATATATATATATATATATACGTGTGATACATATATATATGTATATATTTATGTATGTATATATGTATGTATGTATAAAATCTACCTATGCAACCCAATTACAGGCGCTGGAGTGTCGTTTGGTCTCGGAGATGGCGAGCGATCGTGTGGTGTGGCCTGTGTCTGCTGTGTCTCTGCGGGGTGTTGCTGAGGGACGCCTTGCCTTACCTCCTCCCGACGCTGTCTGATCACAGGTGTGTACGGCAGAGGGTGACGTTGGGGCGCTGTTATTATTAGCCGGACGGGGGAGTTGCTGTTATTGTTATTACCTGGTTGGGGGAATCGTTATGACATGGATTGGGGAATATATGGTATCGTTATTACCTGGATAGGGAATAGCTGCCATCGTTATTACCTGGATGGAGGAATTATTCTTGTTAATACCTGGATGGGGAATAGCTGTCATTGCTATTACCTGCATGGGAAATAGCCCTTATCGTTATTATCTGGATTGGGAATAGCTATTAGCATTATTACCTGCATGCGAGAAATTACTGTTATTGCGCGTTTGGGTTGTTAGTCTGGCAATTTCTTGGTTGAATGGGTAATTGGCGATGGAGTTTCTTAGTTATTTTGGTTATTTTGATTTCTTGGTTAATGGGATACAAGGTTGTTTTCTTGTTAATTAGTGTATAGGTCGCTTAATGAATCACTTCACTGGTTGTTAGATTTATTAATTAATTGCCTGGTTTCTTGGTCAGTTATTCTATAAGTAGGATAAATGTCAATGGCGGATTGTGATTAATTTTTTGGATGGGTTGCCTATAAACGTGGTTGGATTAGGTTTGAATCTTGAATCGGGGTAGTCTGGTCGATCTTGTGGTTGATTAAAAAGGAGAATTTGGTACAGTAAACTTTCGGTATAGATTGACATAACTGAGGGTAGATATTAAATAGATTTCTTTGAAGGTAGATTAAAAGTAGATTTAACCGAGATTTTTTTTATTTTATTTTTAGGGCAGGTAAGTTAGATGATAATAGATCACTTTTGATTTTTAAAAGTAGATGACGGTAGATTAAAGATTTTATGGATAGGGTAAATCAAAATAACACCAGAGGTTCTTCTTCGTGTTTTCTACTTATTATTATTATCATTGTTGTTATCATTACCATTATTGTATTATCATTATCATCATCACCTTCATCATCATATCATCATCATTATCATCATCATCATCATCATCATCCTTTTTCGTATTATTATTAGTATTAGTATTAATATTGTTAAAATCATTATTAGTATTATTGCTATTACTACTGTTGTTATCTTCATCATCATCATCACCATTATTATTACTATTTTGTTTTTACACCTTTGATGGTGAAAATGATGTAATCATTATTATTTCTTTATTGTTAATGATAAAAATGATGGTAATGAGAATGGTGATGATGATAGTAATGATGATAATATATTTTCTTCTATTGTTATTGTCAGATATTATTAGTGTTATTAATGTTACTATTAATATTGTTACTGTTCGTAGTTACTGTTATCATTATTAGGAAAATAAATCGCACTATAACTCATATGGATGTGAGTAATAGATATATAGTAACATATAGACACATGCACGCTTCTTTCTCTTTCTGTGTGTGAGTGTGCCTGTCTGTCTCTCTCTGTCTCTCTGTCTCTCTCTCTCTCTCTCTCTCTCTCTCTCTCTCTCTCTCTCTCTCTCTCTCTCTCTCTCTCTCTCTCTCTCTCTCTCTCTCTCCCCCTCCCTCCCTCCTCCTTCCGATTTGAGTCTACAGTTGCACGCCCACAACTATGTCCGAACGGCTCACAAATGTCACTGAATGCCACGCCCTTCAAGTGCTGAAGTTGATCAAAGTGAGTGCTCCATCGGGCACGCCCAAACCTTGGAGGCCGAGCTCTTGTGACGTCATAGGAAGGCGGTTTCTGGCTGTAGATTCTGTTCTTGAAGACTGATCAGTCTTAGTCGTTCATTTTTTTTTTTTTGACTCGCACTGTGAATTTATTTATTTATTTATTTTTACTCTTTTCTTTACTTTTTTTTTATGTTACTCTTCCTGGTTAGTTTTTTTCCCCTCGTTTTCTCTGTTTGTGTCTCTACCTGTCTATCTTCCTGTCTCTGTCGCTCCCTCCCTGCTTCTTACTTCCCCTTTCCTTTTACTTCTCTTTCTCCCTCTCTTTCCAATACTGTGCATAACCTTCCCCAACCTGAAAGGTGTCGTCTGCCACCCCGACTCGCCACGTAGGGAGAGTATTGACTGGCCACTCTCTATTTCCTCGTGTCCTTTTAAGTATGGTCTTCTCGCCTCTAACCGCCCTCATGCAATCAATAACTCTCTTCTTATACGTTCAATAAATATCTATAAAGGGAGTTGTTTTTGGAATTATGATTGTTCTCATGACATGGGGAATATTTAATCTTTTAAATCGTTGAAATTTATCGGAGGTGTTGATGAACAATAAAGGGCAAACAATGCGATTACTCCCGCCTTGCTTTTACCTTTTAAAGAAAACGGTGTCGGAGATCGATGGCTTCCGCGGGACACGTAACACGCTGGCTGTTAAAGGGTTTATTTTTCTTCGTCTTATCTTTCTTCCTCTCGTTTCTCATCTTATTGTTGATACACGTGTTTATCAACGTTTTCTCTCTTCCTTACTTGTGGAATTTCCACGTTCCACGTTTATTTATTTATGTCTTTCTTAGCATACTTTCTTTCTCAGTCGATCTCCGTCTTCAAGAATTGATTTCTACCTGAGCTCCTTCCAGATTTTATTTATGCCGATGGTTTTCTATATATCCAGCGCTAAAACACACACACACACACACACACACACACACACACACACACACACACACACACACACACACACACACACACACACACACACACACACACACACACCAGTATAATTTCTTCGGGATTGCCTGCTACTGGAGACACTTCACTTCAACTTGTGGTTTCCATTAAACAGCCCGAAGGTCTTTGTAAACGCAATATCCCGACCTAATATTGCGAAGAGAATTCCTTCGCGTCTTTGAAGTTTTGTTGTCTGTCATCAAATCTCCTGTTTTTATGGTAGCTTTTGTTATTGTTCTTTCTTCTTTTTAATCTGTTTTTTTAAGCTAGACTCTTTTTCATATTTCTTCAAAGACTTCCTGTAAGCAAAGCGATTTGATCAGATCATCTTTAAACTTAGTCTAAAATTCAGTGACACGTTACCTTAACCTTTCTTACAAGTAATGTAAATGCACATTCCTTTGCGTCTTAAAACATGTACACACGCACGCACACGCACACATACACATACACATACACATACACATACACATACTCACTCTCACTCACTCACTCTCACACACTCTCTCACACACTCTCTCTTTCTCTCTCTCACACTCTCACACACTCTCTCTTTCTCTCTCTCTCTCTCTCTCACTCACTCACTCACTCACTCACTCACTCACTCACTCACTCACTCTCTCTCTCTCTCTCTCTCTCTCTCTCTCTCTCTCTCTCTCTCACTCCCTCATACACACAAACGCTAAAAAAAGCACTTGTTTGCGCATACCTGTTAATATTTACAACAGCTTAACGTAAGCCACATTTACTTTGTTTACTTCATCCTCCGGCTAAAGACCTCCCCCCCCCACTCCCCCAGGACCCGGCGTTGCCCTCCCTCCCCCGTGGACGTGGATGGCTGCTCTTCCTGGAGGCCCCTGCAGGTTCCGCACCCCGTCTGCGCCTGCTCCAGGAGGCTCCTCGTACTGCATGACGCGTATGTTGAATTTTGAATGTCCTTTGTTTTTTTATTTATTTTTTTATGTATGATCTGGATAGAGGTTGCTATGTTATGTGTTTTTGGTCCATGTTATGTATGCATTTCTCCAACTATGATTGTAATTTAGTCTTCTGTGTTCTTCCCCTATTCGTCAAAAAATAAATAGTAATAAATAAATAAATGGAAAGACATAAATTTTCTTGTATTTCTGAAAAATGAAACCACAACTTGTATATTTCAGTGGTCTTGCTAAACCGCCTGTCATTTCCTTTCCATTTGCTCATATTTTTAGACTCGTATCCCCTGTCCCTTCTTAACACGGTCTATACTTCAAATATTTGTATTTTTGTTACTCATTTTCTTAACTTGCATGTCTAGAATACTAGTGTTCTTGACTTACTAACTTTATATACTTTTATTCTTGTTTTTATTGACTTGATATACTCTATATCCTTGCTTTATAAATTCAGTGTACTTTATATTCAGTGATCAGAGTATATAGAGTATATCCACGTTATAGACCTATAAACGAAACAATTTATAACTGTTCAGCTTTTCACATTTCAGTTTTTTTTCCCTTCGCAGATGCACGGATCTAGTGACGTCAGACGCGTCCGGATACCTGAATTACGTTCGTGAATATTTCGGCAATTCGACGTGTTCGGACGAGGCGACGCTCCGAGGGCCTCACCAGCATGTTGTGTCCATTTCCCTCCCGGCCGCCGCGGGGGAAGGGGACTTTGCTTCTCTCAATCTCACCGTCAGCGAAATAGTAGTACGTGATTGTGTTATTATTATTATTTTGTATTTGTTTATTATTTTTTTTTTTTGTAAAATAAATTTGGATGTTCATGTTTTAGGAATGTATTTTTGGTTGTTTTTTTATTTTCTCGTATTTTTTGGTCTTTTTTTTTTGTTTATTCTCTTTTATACCTTCTATCTCTCTTTCTGCTTCCGTTTCTTTTTTTCTTCCTCGTTATCCCAGATCCATGTTCTATATCCGTGATTACTGCCTTTCCGTTTATTATTCCTATTATTATATGCACCTTATAATTTTCCTTTATTTTCCTCCTCATGTTGCCATTTCCATAGTCATTCCTTATTGCCTATTTAATTCCACATGTAAATTCCTTTCTCAATCTCTAACTCCATGATATATCACTTATTGTCCAAATTATTCTTTCCCTATTATCATTAAGTTTTATCATTTCCCTGTTTCTCTTTCAGTTTCCCTATTCTCATTTAGTGTTATTATTTTCCTTTTTTTTCTTTCAGTTTCCTTAAGAGATTAATTTTCTTAACTACCAGCGGCGTGGATACACTTCAGGCGCCAAAATCTTGCAGGTTGATCATACTCTTAATGCAATATAAGTACCTTTTAGTGGTGAGAATAAAGATTAATTGTTGTCCTCGGTGTCTGTGGATTATTTGAGTGAAAGTGAGGCTGAGAGTTTGAGTTGTAAGGGTGAGGTTCAGAGCGAATGTGAGAGTGAGAGTGAGGATGAGTGTGAGGGTGATAATGAGATAATTGAGTTTGAGATTGAGGGTGAGAGTAAGACTAAAAGCAAGCAAGTGAGTGAGTGAGTGAGTGTATGAGCGAGTGAGAGAGAAAGAAGACAGGAGACAGAAGATAGATAGTCATTCAGTCAGTCGTCAGTCAGTCAAGACAGACAGAGACAGTGAATCAGTCAATCACAACAAAATCGACCATATCTAACCCACCCACTTACACCACAGGAAGTGTACAAAGGGTGGGTGGTGCGTCTGTACACCCGCGTGACCCCCGAGACACGCGCCGGCCTGTGCTCGCTGGTGTGCGCCCAACAGGACGTCGACCTGTGCGACGTCACTCGGCTGCCCTTGCCCATCCTGCCCATCGTCACCGTGAGGGATGAAGGTAACGCCGTTGAGTGGCTCGTATTTCAAGTGTGGTTTGGTTTGGTTTTTATTTTGATGTGTTAAGCTTTCGTTTTTTAGGTTTTGAGCTTTTTTTAAGGTTTTAGTTTTTATAATAAGGTTTTCAGTTGTTTAATTTGCTTCAGTTGTATGAAGTTATTTAAATGCTATCCTTGTTATTATGTGCCTTTGCTCAAAATAATGAAAGTAAAGATTCAATAGATATTTCTTTTAAGATTTGTATTCTGTATTTGCTTTCTTTATTCTGGCTTTTGGGTATGTGTTTTGGCGTCTATTTATTTATCTTTTAATTCGTGTTTTAGTATTTATTGATTGGGAGAACTGTAGTCTATTATAAATGGCTTAGCTGTCTGTGTTAAAACTTTCCTTTCTTCGTTCATTCTCCCTCATTCTTTCCTTGAATCTATCTTTCCTCCTTAAAAACTAATAATATCAGAAAGATTCACTTAAAATTACACTAACAAAATGCATTACCACCCCAAGTACGCAGCTCTCCATTAGCGCCCGTAATCTCGCTCTCAAACTGCATGAATCATCATTCCGGGTCGTTATATTGACCGAGTCGTTAATCATTGAGCAACTGTAGAGCCAGACGACCACAGGTGATGGAGGGACTTTGCTATATATTTAAGTGTTACATACATGGGCATTAACATATATATATGTATCTGTGCGTGTTTATACGTATGTATGTATGTATGTATGCATGTATAAATATATATATATATGTATGCATGCATGCATGCATGCATGCATGCATGTATGCATGTATGTATGTATGTATGTATGTATGTATGTATGTATGTATGTATGTATGTATGTATGTATGTATGTATGCATGCATGTATGTATGTATGTATGTATGTATGTATGTATGCATGCATGCATGCATGTATGTATGTATGTATGTATGTATGTATGTATGTATGTGTGTGTGTGTGTGTGTGTGTGTGTGTGTGTGTGTATGTATGTATGTATGTATGTATGTATGTATGTATGTATGTATGTATGTATGTATGTATGTATGTATGTATGTATGTATGTATGTATGTATGTATGTATGTATGTATGTATGTATGTATGTATGTATGTATGTATGTATGTATGTATGTATGTATGTATGTATGTATGCATGCATGCATGCATGCATGCATGCATGCATGCATGCATGCATGCATGCATGCATGCATGCATGCATGCATGCATGCATGCATGCATGCATGCATGCATGTATGTATGTATGTATGTATGTATGTATGTATGTATGTATGTATGTATGTATGTATGTATGTATGTATGTATGTATGTATGTATGTATGTATGTATGTATGTATGTATGTATGTATGTATGTATGTATGTATGTATGTATGTATGTATGTATGTATGTATGTATGTATGTATGTATGTATGTATGTATGTATGTATGTATGTATGTATGTATGTATGTATGTATGTATGTATGTATGTATGTATGTATGTATGTATGTATGTATGTATGTATGTATGTATGTATGTATGTATGTATGTATGTATGTATGTATGTATGCATGCATGCATGCATGCATGCATGCATGCATGCATGCATGCATGCATGCATGCATGCATGCATGCATGCATGCATGCATGCATGCATGCATGCATGCATGCATGCATGCATGCATGCATGCATGCATGCATGCATGCATGCATGCATGCATGCATGCATGCATGCATGCATGCATGCATGCATGCATGCATGCATGCATGCATGCATGCATGCATGCATGCATGTATGTATGTATGTATGTATGTATGTATGTATGTATGTATGTATGTATGTATGTATGTATGTATGCATGCATGCATGCATGCATGCATGCATGCATGCATGCATGCATGCATGCATGCATGCATGCATGCATGCATGCATGCATGCATGCATGCATGCATGCATGCATGCATGCATGCATGCATGCATGCATGCATGCATGCATGCATGCATGCATGCATGCATGCATGCATGCATGCATGCATGCATGCATGCATGCATGCATGCATGCATGCATGCATGCATGCATGCATGCATGCATGCATGCATGCATGCATGCATGCATGCATGCATGCATGCATGCATGCATGCATGCATGCATGCATGCATGCATGCATGCATGCATGCATGCATGCATGCATGCATGCATGCATGCATGCATGCATGCATGCATGCATGCATGCATGCATGCATGCATGCATGCATGCATGCATGCATGCATGCATGCATGCATGCATGCATGCATGCATGCATGCATGCATGCATGCATGCATGCATGCATGCATGCATGCATGCATGCATGCATGCATGCATGCATGCATGCATGCATGCATGCATGCATGCATGCATGCATGCATGCATGCATGCATGCATGCATGCATGCATGCATGCATGCATGCATGCATGCATGCATGCATGCATGCATGCATGCATGCATGCATGCATGCATGCATGCATGCATGCATGCATGCATGCATGCATGCATGCATGCATGCATGCATGCATGCATGCATGCATGCATGCATGCATGCATGCATGCATGCATGCATGCATGCATGCATGCATGCATGCATGCATGCATGCATGCATGCATGCATGCATGCATGCATGCATGCATGCATGCATGCATGCATGCATGCATGCATGCATGCATGCATGCATGCATGCATGCATGCATGCATGCATGCATGCATGCATGCATGCATGCATGCATGCATGCATGCATGCATGCATGCATGCATGCATGCATGCATGCATGCATGCAGGGATTATATTTGTGATATATTGTGTAGAAATAGTTAATGATATCTAGAGCCATCTGAAACAAGTAAACGGAACTTATCAAACAGTATTAAAATAATTAAAAGGTCTGCCGGAAAAGAAAATGCATTTCCAACACTTTAAAAAATTCTTCTCTTCCAGTGTTGGCACATGATGTTGGACCATACTTCGCACGCCGGGGATCCTCTCGGATCGCGCCTGCTGGGGGGCAAGACGTCCTGGGGCGGCCCGATGCTAACTCACTTACGACATCGCCTTCTGCAAGAGGTTCACGGCCCGAAGGACGTCGACGGCATCCTGGTGGTGAGATCCGTCGAGGTCCATATGTTTCTGAGTTTCGAGATTGACATACAGTGGCAGAAATAAATTTACATAGATACAGGTGAATAAATATAAATATGTAGCTTAATATGCGGACACCCACACAGCACACACGAATGTATGTATGCCGTAGATACCGTTATTGCGGAAAGTGCCTTCAACAGCAGGGCACGCGTTACCTGGAGTTAGCAGAGCACGGAGGATCGATGAAGACATTCTAGCCATCCCACAATTCATTTCAGGAGGAGCTGCTTCCCGTGATGGGCGAGGACGTAATGACCCACGACAGCGTCACCTGCAGCAGCACCTCCGGGGCGCTCCCCTTCCCAAGCCGCCGTCCTCCTGGCCACTGGGTAGGGATGCCCAGGCAGAAGTCACCCCTGCGCCGGCCCTTAGCAGCGGTTCCGAAGGCTGAAACCACAGCTCTGACCACCCAGATGCCTTCGGCCGGGACGGTAGCCGGTTCTAGACCTGACGAAGGAGCGACCGTAAGGAAGGTCACAAGTCCTCCAGGGAAAACCACGTCATCTGTCCAGGGACGTCGCCGCCCCTCTAAAAAACCGTCGAAGGGTAAGGCGGAGGCTTCGAAGTCGGAGGAACCCAAAGAAGACGAGGTCAAGGTCAACGAAGAAGCAGGAATACCCGTGTGCCCCGTGGCTTGCCGGCCGCACCTGCACCCTGACTGGGAATACTGTTGATATTCCAGGTTGTTCCAAGAAAGGACGAAGGCCAGTGTGCGCTCCTTGCACGTGGTCTGGGGAATTGCATGAAGACCGTATGTTTATATGATCAATTTATCTATGTTAGCCATCTAATGCGGATTTCGAACTTATAAATTATTTTTATCACATATACGAAATTTAATGGAAGTAAAAGTCTATAGTTGTATATTGATTTTCTTTATCCTGCATTGCGCTGTGTGAATGAATTTGATGGGTCAAACAATCGTAGGGAATGGTTAATGGTTAAACTAAATAAATATTCTACACATATAACACTATGGTAAAGTATTGTGGCAAAAAGGACTAAAAATGAAATAACGATTAGGATAAGTGGACAAAAAGGAGGGGATGAAGAAGAGAAGGAGAAAGAAAAGACCATACAAAATTAGTTGAGGCGAGGGCTGAGGACCAAGGCAGGGGCTGATCCCCTATATTGGGGCCCGTTCTCTCTCTACAGTCGTAGAGAGAAAAAATGTTTGTAATGCTGTACATATGAAACTCTTTCTTAGGGAAATTAATCTTATAAAAACTATCATTTCAATAATCTTCCCAATCACGACGTAAAGAAAATCGTTAGGGATACAAATAAAAGTTTTGTCGGTTTATAACAATCAATTTATCCTTAACCATTCCTTTCTTTAGCTAATAATTTAATAATCACAAGACAATATAGATTCCCGCCTCTGACACCGTCCCATTTAGAAATGGATTTTTGAAAATGCATTTGTGATGAAAAGGAGAGTCCAACACATTTTACATTTAATATAAATAGAAAATTAGCATTTCGTATTAAGATTTATAATTTCATATAATCAATAAAGGGCGCGCGAAATCAGCTGTATATAATACATTGTGTATATATTACTAGACATGTTTATCCAGACTAACTCCTTATTACCAACATCACTTTTCTAGACGTTTAAACCGAGCCACACTAGCAGAAAGTGCACTCAGCAAGCAAATCCTGCTGGGTATGTTGATTTCTATTGTCTACACGGTGACGAACCTCACGTACTCAGTGCTTGCAGTTTCAGCAAAGTACTGCCATTATCTGGTAATTCCTTTCGATCAAATGGGGTTTTACTTTAATTACTTAAGCAATTATATCCTCACGATTGTTCGTTAAGGCCCATCCACTTGGTTTAGCGGTTTGCCTGTTGACAGCTACCGTTTGTACAGGCGGGCATACCAGCAAAGTGCCCAACTTACAGTGCCAACAGTAAATTGGATACTTCCTAGGGAAATAACTTTCCTCATGGTTTCTTTAATTATGCACCTAATACCAAGTGTAAGTTGACAGTTTTACACAAATATAAATACTTATCAATTCATTATTAACATTAGTTTCTTTTAAACAAACATTTGATCGTGTGTACGACAGTGCGTGTGGATCGGCCTTTGCAAATCAAACTGTGTTGAGAAATTGCCTTCTACATAATAAACGCAGAGAGAAGGGGAGAAAGGAGGGGCGATTTTAAGTGCCTACATGTTACACTTAAAACATGTCTAATCTATTGGTTGAAAATAACATGTATAACCAAAGGTAGAGGGTATGCTGTTTCTTATCCGAAATTCTGGGAAAAAAGTAGCAGCATTTCAGTACAAGTGGAAGTAACTGAAGTTCATACGCCATTCAGACTGCAACCACATTTTGGTGACCGATGATAATACCGCAAAATAATATTCATCAGAGCTCGTATAGACACGAACCTTTGATATTCTGAGGTGAAATGAGCTTTTATTTTGAATAATAATAAAACCGATAGTATGTCACTAACTACCCGTTATATTACATGGTTGAATTTCCTGCATGGTTTCTGACGTTAATTTGTAAACAATAAAATGCTAATACAAAAACAAAAAACTACCACTCATGTATAGCTGTCATCACTATAGTCCAATAATATTTTTCAGTAATCAATTAATTTACTGGGGATCTAAAATAACTTTCAATTCATGTCCACAAGTGAAGCAATATTCGTGTGGGTGAATGATGGGTGGTGTTAGGTTAGGATGTTAAGAAAAATCGTTAATATGTACATCTATTCATCATCGTTTCAAATAACGAAATATTTTGTACCCCTTGGCTTAATATGCACTAGTTAAGCTTGTGCATTTGTCGAGTATTTCTAATAACCATTTTCCTCCATCATTAGCGTAAGTTGACAAATTATTAGTACTTATTGAAAACTTCCCACCGTGTTTACATCTAAGGTCATTAGCTACGTATTCAAATTATAGCGATAGGGTTTGGGGGCGAAGCCCCGGGTAAGAAGATTTTGGTTCACAAGGCGATGTTTGTGGATTTCCAGAATGGTTAATAATCAAAGCAAATAAATGTCCAGACACCAAAGGTCACAAACATTATGACATCATTATAAGTACTGTGGCAAAAAGGAGGAGAAACGAATTAACGACTAGGGTAAGTGTACAGAAGGATGAAGAAAAGGAAAAGACCATGCAAATTGGTTGAGGTGAGGGCTGAGGGCCAAGGCAGGGGTGATCCCCTACACTGGACCTCTTACCCCCCCACCCCCAGCAACAACGAGCAAGGGATTGAGGGAGTTTTGCTGATCAAATTTTCTCTTCATGAAACACCGTATCCCTCACCTCTCTATATTCATCAAATGACATTAGCTATCAATTTTCTGCCGCATCAACGTCTAAGATCATTATGATGATAATATTGTGGCGGAATGGGTAAAAATGAGTAACGATTAGGATAAGTGGACAGAAGGAGGAATGAAGAGGAGCATTATGAATTATTATGGCGAAAACGGTAAAAATTAGTAACGATTAGGATAAGTGGACAGAACAAAGGGATGAAGAAAAGGAAAAGGAAAGACGACCATGCAAAATTAGTTGTGGCGAGAGCTAACGACCAAGGGAGGATTCAGTCCCCGTCCCTTATCCCCCTCCTCCCCCAACGACAACGAGCAAAGGATTGGGGGCGGGGAATACAGCACTAGTTGCTGTTTCAAAACTATTTTTCTCTTGATCTTCTATTAATATGAACACTTGCACTGCAAATCGGGGGATGGTTACTAACTATGGCTCCATCTGTAGTCAGAAACACTTCTATATCATGTAACCACATTAAACCTGTTATTAGGTTGATAGAAACCGATCATCCTTGACACCAGTTTACAATTTTCTGCAAATGTAAATCTTGACACCTCATATCGCCTCCGAGTCCCCTTCTCTCACATGCCTTTCCTAAAACAAAAAAACTTTACCATAAAATATCTGAGCATCAAGATGTAATTAGTATATGGGCATCGACACATTGTGTATCACTTATAAAATATATTATAAAAAACCTCGTAACTCATAACTGAACTTGTTGCACACGATACAAGGAAAATATTACTAACTTTGCATCGGTGGTGGGCAGGGTCCAATGCAAGGTTTCGATGCCGAGACGAATGAGTCTTCAGTCCAAAGTCTTAGTTTGAATTTATTTTACAAAATCTAAGGTTCTATCAGAAGGGTTTCAATAAAATACATTGCTCCAGTTCCTATTCATTTAACACTTTTAATGTCAAACTCAGCAAATTTTATTCTAATACATTATTTTTGCAATTAATAACCATGATTTGAATTTTAAAATCAGTGACTTCAGTTTCATTAAGATTGACTTAGTTTTATAACCAAAGTCATTACTTTAACAAATGCTGGTCGTATCTATATAATGTTTACACCCGTCACACTATGTGAAATATGAAAATTATTTTTATTGTGGACATGATATAGATTCTCCATTATCTTACAAAATGTATATTATCCACATTACTTTAAACAGGACATGCAAATCAAGAAAAAAAATCCACTATATCGCCTCAGCCCGAGCTAAATCCTACTCCCCGGCCTTGTTTTACCATACAATTCTTTCCAAAGCTTTAATGCAGCGTCTTGTACTGGACAAGTAAGATTATAGAATATAGGGATTCACTGTCCATTAGATTGTTTATCTGGATGTGTGTAAAGAATATATGGTTTGGATCGCGTAACTACCTGAATAGCATGCCCGGTGGAGCTCTGAGGACCTAATAATGAATCTTAAAATAACTGCCGAATTCCTCCAACCCCCTAGATTTAAAATTAAATAAATAGCCATTTCATTTTGTTCATAGAACTCATAGAAGGCAAGAAAAATAAGGATGAGGTTATAGTGTTTGTAATCAGTAACAAGCTTTTACAATTTCTTGCTTATATACTTTACTTGCTAAATTTCGACTAGACAAGTTCTGAATCCGTATCAAAGACTTTTTACAACTTGCTAGAATACAAAACGTAATATGTTATAACATGTATACTATACATTTACAATGAATTTATTTTTCAGACCATATCGACATTCACACTTTTAAATCTTAATTATACCAACCCACCATTTATCATTTATTTTCAAATACATATCTAATGACATTGATATAATCGACAGTTATACAATTATCTGAGGACAAGAGTACATGATTAGAAACATTTTTAATACGGTTTCAAGTGGACAATTCTACATATATTACAGAAGTTGCTTAATATTCTTGGACATGCTAGCTTGCAAACAAGGCAAATCCCACTGGTTTCCTTGGTATATTGACAATGACGGTTGAAACTAACAGGAGAAAAATGCAAGATTAATCAGTGTATTATGCAAGATAAAATACAATGTACGTGCAAGTATAAAAACGGTTACTGAAACCCACCCACTTGGTAATGACATCAGTTTTGAAGCAAATTCTGCATCACATGATACGGTACTGGTGCCTTTGTGCGCTAAAATATAGGTTACTAAATATCGAACTTATCAATATAATATACAAGCGATCTCTGAGTATAGTGTGAGAAGTCTGTTGATTGGTATTACAAAAACTATTCTTAACATCTTAATCTTACTTTGCCTCAGGTTCTTCATTGCAGGTAAACTAAACTCAAACTTCTAAAATTTATTTTATTAGTAAACCATACATTTGGAAAATCATTTGAAACAAATGTTGGAATGTAACCAACTTTTACTGACCACAATAAAAATAAGGATCATACTTTATTCAAAAAGGAATATTCCATTTCACAAAGCATATTTTTGTTTCTTCCTAAATCAAAAATGGGCCACATGTTATAGGCTAAGTCTTGCATTATAATAACTGCAAGTCAACATACATCTAACATACCCAGTACAAAACTGAAAAAATGTGTTCCAATCCTTATAGAGGTCTTTCAGGTCATTCATCCTTGCCGTCATCAACCTTGGGGCTGCCGTTCTGTTGCGGGGTCCGTGAACGGCTTCGATCTCTGAAAGTACTGCTCAACATTAATGTTCTTTACCTTTCCACAAACAACCGGGGTCAGTATCATAACTTACACGCGATGTCCTGGGCTTTACCACAATCAAATTCAGGAGTGAAAACGGTGAAAGTAGTTAGGGATCTTTACCTACCCTTTGTCATCCCGAGAGAGTGATCGTTCCCTGTCACGGTCCCTGTCTCTCGATATGGATCTTGACCTTGACCTCTCACGTGTGCGGCTGCGGTCCCTTGTGCGCGACCGTGATCGGGATCTGTCTCTGGAGCGGCTTCTGTCCCTCGAGCGTGAGCGATCCCTGGTTCTGCTCCTTGAACGGTCACGGGTGCGGGACCTGGAGCGTGTGTATGATCTCCTCCTCCTGGGCGTGCGGCTCCGGCTACGCGACCTGTTTCATGAGAAAACCTTCAGTATTTGCAGGAGCAGCTATGCCACTTCGACTGTGCAAATCTAATCCTTAGAGTTCTTGGGATGATGGTACGGCTGCTAACATCCATGCCCCCACATTGATCCTAACGCAAGATTTCTGCCATGCACGTACATCGGGACTGGATGTTGGGGACGGGCTGATCTTGACCGTGTGCTCAACTTATAGGCATGATAAGCACTGCTAGTTTATACCCTTAACCCATCCTCAACTCTTTATGGTCAACCTGAAACATTTAGCTTCCATTTCTACCCGTCTCCTGCGCAAAGCGGAAAGAAGCCAACCCACACTCTCGGGTGACCATAAATCAGATTTGCACAAAATTAACACCTTCTGGGGATCTCTTATTCAATTACTTACATGAACTGCCTCTGGCTGAAAATGATTGATGGAACAAAAAGAATTAAGGGGACTAGAGGTAACTGAGTAAGTAACACTACCTAAGTAAAATAACAACCAGGAATTAAATTTTACACCAGTAAGCTTACTGTGCCTCTGTCAAGAGTCATGAATCTCGGAAGAGAGTTGTCTGAAGGTCTGACGTTCGATCACGTAGGTAGGGTCATGTAACTGCGATGTTTAACCTGCGTTGAACGCTCATGTAACTGCGATGTTCAAGGAGAGCACGAGAGAGGTCTACGCTGACTGACTGGCAGGCAGTAAGCTTTACAAATGAGGCCATGAAGTTCAAGGTGTGGCCAGAAGGTCAAATTCAAGTCGGAGTGCGTTGATCACAATCGACAGAGCGCCGATCTTTGACTACTCGAGGTTTGGGAATGGGGATCTCAGCCGTGTTGCCTACAAAATATGAGTGTTCTGTCAATAGCAGTTTCACTAATTGATCATCCCTTAGTTTTATTTGTTTAAACTTTCTTCTTTTTTTTTAAGTAGACCACACAAGACAAGTCCACATGACAGGGCTATGGCAGAGATTAAGCTTCACAGAAAAAACTCTCAAAGAAATCTCTTGAATGGAGAAAAAAATAATAAAAAATAAAAAATAAAAAAATGAATATAAAAAAATAAAAATAAAACATGGAAGCAGCACCACTTTAGTCATGATCAACAAGAACCAGGTGAACTTGAGCTGATACTGGCCTCCCATCAAAACACTGCTTACTGAACAAAGCTCAGGATTTGAGGATGTGTCGTGCAATAACCACCTCTTATGCCACTCGGTTGCGTGACAATTACCTTGAACCGTAACGCCGGCTGTACCTATGGCAATCCCGTGCATAATGACCCCGCTCGCCGCACTCATAACATCGGTCATCTGGGTGGAAGGGGCGACCTCGGCGTGGTGGAGGACCCCGGAATCTGCTGCGTGACTTGCCCGTTGATAGCTCTACTCTCACACGTCGCCCGCAGATAGTTCTGGAAGGAAGGAACAAAAGACGTTAGTTTAAGAACCAATTTTACTTAAGCACCAAAAAAATCTTCTATGGAGGAAGACCCAACTATTTTGTAAAAGCAAAATACAAAGTCAGAGCTTTTAAAAGTCTACCCAATACAAGTTCATGATCTCCAAAAGACCAAATGTACAAAATGCCTGAAGCTACAACCTAAATTCCTGGGGGGAGAGAGGGAGAGAGGGGGAGGGAGAAATCATGACATCATATTGGCTTTCAGACAACATGCATTGTTGCCACAACCATTGAAGATCTTTCACCAATTCCCAAATGCAACATCCCAACGTTGAAAAGGTAAAATCTGTTCCTCGCATTCAACCAGCCCAAACTTTATACAAGGGAGCAAAATGAAAAAGGGACCTTCAGATCCAAGTAGCAGTCTAAGAAGTTGAGAATGGAAATAATTTCCAAGAAAACTGAATAAACTTTATATACTTGACAATCTACTAATACTGTGGATACTGGCTGATGCCTCCAAAAAGTTTTTAACAGGTCAGATCTTTGGCTACAAGTTCGTTAAATAGGTCTATCCAACTTTAAAGCTCAAAAGTCATAGTTGAATACATCTTCCCTTGGAGGCAGAGGAGAGATGACAGATGCTGCCACTATAAGCAAAAAATCATCTTTATACTGTATTCAAGACCTATCCAAACAGTATTGAAGTCATACAATAAAGTGGTTTAATAAATATATAAAATATATATATAGTAGTAATTTTTTCCTTAAATCTATGCAAAATATTCTAAAAACATAGCAGATAGACCAACAGCTTGATTATACATCTACATCCAACTGCCAAGATAAAATTGCATGCTATCCAAATATTTTTAAAAATCAATAATAAAAACTGAACAAAACTAGTAACTTATCTGACCTAATATTTCCCAAAAAGAATTCACTGAGAAGGAATTTATTAAATTACTTCCATATTTCACCAAATTCTAATCTCCCTAACCTTGAAAAGGATTTCTATTATACTTAAACTGGTAACTTTTGCAGCCTTCATTTAATGACCTAAGAACACCTGAAGTACCCATCTCAAATGAATATATACCTGTCATCTGACTTCATACTCTCCAAAGCATGCATATGGCCCATCCCCAGTGTGGCAACATCTATATGGGACTAAGTGCCAGGCTTTTACCAAGGAGGTTAGAAACTTTATATGAAGGATAGCAAGTAAAATCTCAGCACACCCATTCAAAATTTACAATTTTCCTAAACCATTTTTTTTATGTATTTCTGCTCATAACCTGCCTTATCCCTAAAACTACACTGCTTTTGACTAATGCATTGCAGGGAATAAGGGGGTAACAGGAATCTAGGTGTTAACCCCCTAAAAAATTTAGATGCATTCCAGCTACCTAGCTTTTATGCTCAGCTGCATAAAGGAATCAATTCTTCCTGGTATGTCGGACAATAACTGTACAGCTAACCTCAACAAGTTAGTGTTGCCAGAGGACAATAAGGAAATGGGAGGGTTAGATACTGGAGAGAAAGAAGGGAAAATGAGAGGGAGATTGGGGGAGCAATAGTGGGTGAAACTAATAAAATTACTATTGTGAAACAGATTCCCACTGCACCTTGACATTTCCTGATATAGGTAGATACAAGCTTATCCACTAGATATGAGGGAGGGAGGGAGGAGCTGATAGCAAAAGAAATTAATTAAAACAAAATTGACCAGCATATCACCTGCCTAAGATCCTTTTTCCAATGAAAAATATCAACCAACAGATATCCAACTCCAAATTTAACGAAACTTTCATGATATCAAATTGTTAACCGAGAAGGAAACCAGTGCCTAAATATATTGAAAATGATCTCTAAACCACAAATTCTTACCTTCCATCTAATCCCCTGACGGCATCCTCTGCATCTCGCATGTCCTCGAACTCAACGAAGGCAAATCCAGGGGGGTTGCGTGCCACCCACACGTTTCTGAGGGGGCCATAGTAGGAGAAGGCTTCCTCTAGCTCTTGTTTGGATGCCCCTGACCCAAGGTCCCCCACATACACCTTACAGTCTAGTGTTGAAGGCATCTTGGGCCCCCGCACAACCTGAGGAATAAAATGTAGAAAATTAATAAAAAAATGTTAAGGGCCGAGTTACTCTTGAGATGTACCGTGAAAAAATGTGTTAGTATCAATCCTGCCACCGGTTTCATGGGCCAAGATCCCTGGCCATGATGACCTTATCTACTGTAGGTAGTAATGGTATATAGGTGTTCTATAGAACACCTGTGCATACGACTTGGTAAGCTTATATCAGGGTGCTCATCAAATTCTGTAAAACATTTGAAATTTCTCAATTCGTCCACAGGCCTTAATGACTTGTGTAGTATTGCTTCATTTCTAATAGCTTCAGACCTAATGCATTCACACAAGTGAAATACTATGGGAACCAGAAGTGATCAGTGAAATTCCAGGATGTACAATCTTTGTTGAAAGTACAGATGTTGAGTAAATGATCAATGGCCCTGTAGCTTTTAATTGCTTCATACATCTTTAAAGGCACGGAGACTAAAAAGAGAATTTTGGAGGTTTATACCTCCTTGACACAGTCAAACAAAAGAACTTTAGGGAGTACAACTTAAAAAACAGATCAAGTGCTTGCCACCCAGCATTAGGCTTAATTTGCAATGACATTAGATTAAAAAAAAAAAAAAGCTAGTAATAATTGGACACCCTACTGATTGCCATTTTTCGCAGTATGATATTAAAATGCTTATCATCGGCATACTATTTGAATGTACTCCATTTTCCAACTCCTGCAGTTATTTACATCATAGAATGAGAATACACTTTTAGAATGTAGCATGTATTAATTAAATATTCAAAACTATCACTTTTGTGCATTTTTCTTCTCCCTGCAGATACCTAGGGTAAGGACAATTGATAGCGCATAATAACTGGTGAGAATTCTTTACAGTGTGAAAGCGTTTGTCAAAGAAAATCTTCAATGCAACATCACAACATAATCAACAATCTAAGTTGAGAAATGCACCTTCCAAAGAGTCCCAAAACAAGGGTATCATGTGGACCCAAAATCCAAACCTAACCTTTCCTACCTGCTAGGAACCCCCCCCCCCCCTTTAGTAGCACTTTGTGCCATTTGATGAAAACACGACATTAAGAAATCTGGCAGTGAGGTGATATGAAGCAGATATGTTCCCCATTTTCCAGTAAATACAAGGCCAGTGCAGCTGTACTGGCAAGTGTCCATTCCCATTTATCAATGTGCATCACTAAAAGTAACAAACCAAATTTACATAAACTAGTTTTTGATTTAAATGCCAATATAGAACGGATTTGTCAAAATATAACACGATTCGCTTAGTAATATGACAGATAAGATAAATTTTCTAAATTGCTGTAAAGAAACTAAACTACCAAGACAGTCATGCACAACTGTCAAGTCATGCTTTCAGAATTTCCTACACCAGAAATTGATTAAGCTTTCCTAGTCTACAAGTAACACGACTCTTGGTGAATATTCTAGTTATGACGGTAAAGGCAAGAGAAATAATGTAATGAACTTAAATTAAGTGGGTATAAATAGTAAACAGTAGTAAGCAAAAAGGTTATATCATTTAAAATGGCATATATTTACATCATGAATGCACAAAGTCATTGAAAATACAAGGGCACAGTCATGAAGAGGGAGAGGAGTATACATTAGTGCTTGTTATAGTTTAAAGAACCTTCAAATTCCATATGGAGCAAGAAACAAGGTAAATAAAGTTCAAGCAGTTTGAAAAGTGTATGGTGATGAACTCTTACAAAAATTACTTGGGTTCATATGCTGCTCTTTGAGTGTTAAAATGCAGTTCATCTGTTAATTAGTTCGAGCTGGGGACTGACAGATTCAGCCTTGTTGTAAACTTGGTTAATCTTTATGGTATGGATACACTAAGCTAGGGCAAAATGAAAACTATTCTTCTAGAGGGCAGCATTTGTTACCAAGAGCGACGCACCTTCCAGAGACGAAGTCCCCAATCCAGGATAAGATGCGAACCCAAAATCCAGACCTAACCTTTCTTACCCTCTATTTACTCCCTAGACTGAGGGCAAGCCCCCCTGTAACCCCAATTATTAAAACTTCATGCGAACTTGCAGAAAACGCGACATTAAAATCTGTGGCTGTGGACTTAGTCTGAGCAGTGACACGCAGGAAATTTGCGCAATTTCCTGGTAGATTTGAGGCTGCTGCAGATATTCCTATATTGCTTCCTACTCTTTTATGCACTATAAGATGGCAGTGTCCATTTCCCTTTCAGTGCACCACTCTCGGTAACATTAACCTAGAGGACAAATTTGCAGTCATGGGTATAAGAATCATCAGACAAGTGATAACATACAAGGGCAAAAGCTAGTGGAAAGAACCACTTGGTACTCTGAGTTTCAGCTCTACCATACTGAGTTTGAGAAAATTAAGAATAAGGAAAGGGCACAAATACTAAAAGCCTATGTCCACTTGGCACTCCCGTGTTTCAGCTCTAGCTTGCTGTAGTTGTGAAAACCTTTGCTCTTTGGGCAGTGTCCGAAGGGCACACCCAGTCACAGGAACCATGATTATTGAATAAATTGTGATATGAAGTCAGTCTCTGGAAAGCGAGTCCATACCGTAAAGAAAGTTGTTGGCAAGAGGTATGGGGACTAATGTGACAATCTCTCAAAACCTTGAATTAACACTTCAGGGACTCTTTTACAAAGTCCAGCAAGTTAAAGCACTCCCAAGAGTACTGGTTGTGCCCCTTGAACACTGCCTGAAGGGAGGAATGATAGCCAACAACCCCTAGGAACCCCTTTACCTCAGTATGTTTGGCAAGATAAAGCCTGAACTCGGAGTGCCAAATGGACTCGGGTTGTGAGCTAGGCTTCCTGCGATTTTTCCTTTATTGATGAGGTTGCATTCATGCACGTAGATTTCTTGTATGAACAACTGCAACTTTCAGTACTCTACAGAAATACCATTGTCAATCTGCCCCAACTTAATGCAGCTCTAATGTAAAGATTAAGCAAGTACTACTGTTGCACAATTTGCTCATCAACCAGTGAAAGAAATGCCCTAGATGAAAAGGGTCTTATTTTCAGTCATTCTGTCCATTACAGGGAAATTTTACCATTTACTATATGGCTGTTGGAAACAAACTGGTTACAGTTGCCATTAATGATACACAGATATTAGGAAACATACACTGCCATCTAAAAGAGCATTAGAAATAGTAATAAACAATACAGGTACACTGCTGTGGCCACATTTACTGCAAAATGAAAGTGTTGGCTGCATATCACATCTCAAGAGACCAAGCCCACAAGGAAGGTTGGAAAAGCTAAGTCTGAATTTCCAGGTTTGGAGGATATTCTGGTTTAGGAACGGTTTCTGCACGATTCGTTGCTCTTAGTAACAAACGCCAACAAGCAATACCCAACCGAAAACGAGTGCAGGCCTAACCCCATCTTGCCAAAACACGGGATGGAAGTCGTGACCTTTGCCAGAGCAGAGAGGCAAGCAAGCAAGCCACGAATGAAGCCGAGTCACGGCTTATGCCACAGGAACTCTACACACCACGAAGCTAATATTCAGTGAGCATCTGCCCGTGAGAACCAGCCAGTAATGAGAGCAATCGCAAAACACTACCCCGAAATGCCGGTTTGAAAAAAACAAAAACAAAAAGGGAAAGATATATGCGGTTTTCCACAGCGGTTTGTACATCGAGCCGTAAAAATTAGAATATTCCAAGATTTCCTTCCCTAAAACTGGAAAACCGACCCTCTAAACGGAAGAAATCACCGCCCGGTCCAGACGGATGCATCTAGAGGAATTGGCCGAGCATTTGGTGCCCCGCCGCCCGGCCGACCCACACCCCAAGCCCCTCCCAGCCGCCCAGCGAACCGCCCTCTTCCCCCCCAGATTCATAATTGACGAAGGATTTTGTGCGAAAATGCGGTGCGGGGGAAAGGCACGAGGAGAGACGGCGAATTTTTAGATCTCGAAATCTACGAATTCTCTCCAAAACTGCACACGCCTCCTCGAGTCCCGGCGGCGCCCCGAGTGGGAGGGCGATGCGCTGCCACCCCGAGAGGGCTTCGGCGAGGAGGAAAAGGCGCAGAATTGGCCGCCGAATCCCGAGGGCGAACATGGCGTCCAGCGCGGGAGGCGGAACAGGGCGCCGCTGCCCCCACGCCGTGAACGCAAATTTCCACACTCGCCCGCCGGTAAATCCACACGAGAAATCACTTCACCGAGAATGACACACCCTACCGTGGCCTAGACTTGTAAAATCGAGGTTCTAGAGCTAAGAAAATGGCCCGAATTCCCGCGGCGGACGGGACGACGTGCGTCCTCACCTGGTCCCCACGAGCGACGCTCCGCTACAACGTGCGCGGCGGACGAGCTCTTCATTGATCGCCCGCGAGGACTGGCGCGATGGTTCTCTTCCGGATTCTGTTTTTGCGCTTTATGGCCTGGGTTTCGTTTATAGCAGGGATTTTAGGATGCTAGGAGGGTCCGATGGATATCTGGGGGCCTTTGGGAGATTTTTGTCATGGTTGAGATTTTTTTTTAAATGTAATAATTTTTCAATTCATTTTCAATCATATTTCTTGATGCTGGATTTTTTAGTCTATCTTGGTATTGTTCAGAAATAACTGAAGGATTTTCCCAACTTTACATATAACCAGCTCCACTTAAAAAGCTACAATTATTATTCTAAAGAGATTTTAATTTAATTTCCTACACTGGCTGTGACCTCGCCCGGTTTCGCCCGCCATTGCTTTTTTTAAAAGGAACATTCCATTATATTCCCTCGAGGCTTTAAACGTTGACCATTCTTTATGAATACGCAACAATAGGATATAAGCACCTTTTTGTCCGTTGGAACTTGGAATAATTTACCATGAATGTTTTCTTCTCTAAGTGTATTAATTTTATATATAGGGCCTCGATTTTTATCATTATATATTAGTCCTCTAAGCATAGATTAGTTTTCCTAACGTAACTAATTATTATCAATCAAAGTACCCGAAGTCATTTCCCTTGCTACACGTTTTGAAATAGGCATTTTACGTTAACAATATTAGAAGTGGCTGTATCTTATCAGTTCCAGACTTCTGTGAATTCATATTATTAACTTAGTACTTGAAGCCCGTTAATGGGTGCGTCCTTTACTATATTCACTAAATATCGCCATTAGAATGCTTAAATCGATGTTGAATGAGATAAGATTATTCCTTACTTAAACCAAATGAAGAACGGTTTATAGATATTTAATTTCATTTTAGTTATTCTATTCCTCATGGGGAGAGTCGTTATGAATGAGAATATTTGAAATGATGTGTGTGACACCTCGACAAATATAAAATTGAATTGATAGATTTATTTTAATCCTTCATTAAGAACGAATCTTAGGTGCATTGTTATTCCAAACCTCTCATGTTAAGATAAGGCCAAGTGTCTGATAACAGACTGGCGTCCTTGTTAAACTGACGAGATTTTGTGTCTGACTTAGCACTGCATCTGGACAGAAGTACAAGACTACGGTGGGTAGCTGATCGACTGTGGTTTCATCAATACTGAATGAATTAATAGTTGATAGGCTTATACTCTCACACGCCTAAACATGAGTAGGTGTATTTGAGTATTGTGCATACATACATACATACATACATACATACATACATACACACACACACACACACACACACACACACACACACATATATGTATATATATTTATGTGTGTGTGTGTGTGTGTGTGTGTGTGTGTGTGTGTGTGTGTGTGTGTGTGTGTGTGTACAATATTCACACACACACACATATATTTATCTGTGTGTGTGTGTGTGTGTAAGAATGTACGTATACACGCATCAGCACACATGCTTCCACAAATCCCTACACACAGCCATAAATGTTGCATGTGAGAGCAGACGATAGTCAATTTTCATCGCCTAATACCGAGCTGGCTGCTCAGGTGTCCATTTCCACCAATTCTTAGCCATTAAGGCGAGCAATTAGAAACTGTCGAATACTCCTGAACGCCATTACTTCGAACTTTGTTTGAAGGGAACACATAAATTCCCGACAGTATGATAACATATAAGAGGGTCAATATGTAAAGAAAACACGAAAGAATTATAATGAAAATAAACAATAACAACAACAACAACACGAATAACAAAAAAAAATGCGTGGATTGTTTTACATTTGAAAAAAAATATGTACACACACACACACACACACACACACACACACACACACACACACACACACACACACACACACACACACACACACACACACATATATATATATATATATATATATATATATATATATATATATATCAGATAAAAAAAAATCTTGTAATAGGTGTAAAATGCCACAGATGTTTTATCGGTTTGTTGGTGGCTCGATAGTTCCAAGATATTTTGAAACCACTCTTATCTGGCAGGCTAATAAACAAGGATTTCTCAATTTCTGTGTGAATTCTCTGTCTGTCTGTCTGCTTTCCTGTCTGTTTATCTGTTTCTTCTCTCTCTCTCCTTCTCTTTTTGTATTTACCTATGTTCATGAGCATCTCT